CTCTTAAGACCCGTATTTGAAAGGTTGTTGATCAAGCTGAAACTGTTCAATCTGTATAGTCCAGCTTGAGGGGGAGTGTTGAATTAGTTAGAAGTTAAGATTATGTGGACTTAGTTAGAAGTTGTTTTAAAGTTGTTTAGATTTTGTGTTTAAATTTAGCAAATAAATCTCCTTTTTTTGTTACGGAAGTTAGGAGGTTATTCCTAGATTTTGTTTCCTCTTGTAACCTATAAATAGTGCCTCTATTCCTCATCTTTGATCAATCAATTTGAGAATTTATTTCTTCTCTCTTTTCTCGTGCCTCTATTCCTCATCTTTGATCAATCAATTTGAGAATTTATTTCTTCTCTCTTTTCTCGTGTATGTCTCTCTGGTGTCTCTATCCTTAGTTTTTACTTATTATACAAGTTAATCAATATTGGAAGCTTCCTCTAACTAGTAGATTAAGTGCTTTTTATTTGTTTTTATAACTTGAACTACTTTTGATTATAAAAAGCACTTTTTTTTTTAATCAGTATGCTTTTACATGATACTGAAGCTCACAGCAGGAAGCTTTTACATGATCAAATTGAAAATAGTTTAGACTATATTTCCCTTGTGCAGAGGACAACAGTGATAATGCTCCTCAATGGGTTGCTTTGGGTGTTGTACAATCTTATAATCCGAGGCGAAAAGTCCCAAGATCCAACATTTCTCTTCCACATTTGGACAACTGCATATTAAAGGCATCCTCCGTAGCAGCACAAAATTCTGGTAACCATTGCACTTCTTGATCTCTGCCTTGCGCTTCATGTCATGCTTTAAAAACCCGACATCATTGTCGATAAGCTGTCCTCTCACACTTTGATTCTCTTTTTGTCAACTATTGTTTGTGTGTCATTATATTGAATGGCTATTCATTTCCTTGTTAAAAGCTTCAATCCACATGCCACGGATTGGCTACCAAGACGGATCAGATCGCTCCGAGTGGTACGCTGTGGAACGTCTTCTTCGAAAATATGCCTCGATTTACAACATTAAAATCTATGTGTACGTCTCTATTTCTCTCATTTTCCACACGATTTCTTTGTTGGTGGCGAGATATAAGTTATAAGTTGATGAGTTCTCTTGCAGGTACTACTACCGAAGGACAGGTTGACGCTCAAACTTTCTAACTTTGTTGCAAATATTGCCATTCTTGGCAAATGTTGTTTTGTATGTATATATACATATTATAAAGTGGATTAGAATCTTCCACTTTTTCTGGGGGGATCGAAGCTAAAAGGGAGGACTGTTTTTAAAGAGTATATTATGAATTTAATAACAAGTTACTATTATAAATCTTGTTCACCGAGGACTTATTCTTTGCTCCCCAAGTCCATAAAAGTCTATAGAAGGGTGATGCCTTTGTTGAATAACACACCCAAAAGGAAAATCTAAGAAGAAAAGAAGAAAAGCGTTTCTCAAATTCACAACTCTTATTTTGGCACGAGTCTTGCCATTTTCATAAAGTTAAAAGGTACGTTATTTATTTTTTCTTTGTTGTGATCAATAAGTTAATAAGTTATACGTAGTTTTGCATGTTTGGTGTATATTCAATTTCTAATATAAATACATCTCTTTGTGATAATTTTATTGTTGACAAAGTTGGAGGGCTATAACTCTTGATATTAATTGTGAAAATAATTGTCATGGATGAAATCCATGTGAATGCTATGAATCTGGAAAATTCACATTGTAGATACGTGTGTTTAAATTATGTTTTCGATAAAGTTTAAAAAATGTAAGCTCACTTTGATTAATATGCACTTGAAGAAATAAGTGCTCGGTTTGATTGCATGCACTTGAAGTTGTGTAAGTGATTTTAAAGTAATGCATATATGGTATATACTCCTGTAGTAGCAATATTAAGAAACTTGATATGAAAGGTATATTATGAGTTATGTATCATGTCTTCTAGTGATCAAACAAATCAATGAGTTTTTAAATGAAAAGTCAAATCTCACCCAACTGTGTTGAAATAATTGATAATTGTGTTAAATTTTGAGATCATCAAAGTATTGAAAAATGTTTGCGTAAAGTGAATGATACCTGTCATGCTAAGTTTTTGGTTGATTTTTTTTAAAAGCCTCGTTGAAGAAAAAGGGAAAGAATGTTTGAAAGCAAAGTTTGCATATACATAATAGTTCTTTTGACCCTCCTAATATAAAATACTTGGATGTTGCAAATTTTGTTAAGTCTTCCAAAGAGATAGTGGACATTATTGAAGTAGTTTTTAGATCTCCTAAAGAGATTATGAATCTCAAATCTATGCCTCATAGATAGTGCAATTATGCACATGATACTTAAAAGTAAAAAGTATTCTAAAATATATTTCAAAAATATTAATATTTGTAGCAAAAGTCAATACAATATTAAGTTTTAAACTTGATTGAAGGTTTGGAAAAGCAAATGTTATTTTGTCTAGAGGAACAAAATTCGCGATTGATAATGCATTATTCTCTAATAAATCAATGAGAAATCTACTAAGTTTTATAGATAAACGTTGTTGATTCGTCCCAAGCTTGGGACTGCAAATGTAGGTTAAACTGTGATGTGAAGATTACAATGGGCTTATTTTTTACTCTAGAACAATGGCTACCTAGCTTCTAAGCACACAACAATGACTACGTAGCTTCTAAGCACCACGATAATGACTAGTTAAGGAACACAGAATGAAAAACCTCACAAGAATTGTGAGAACTAGCTTTCGACGATGCTCCACATACCAAGTTCTTTTTCTTCCTCTCTGCCGAAGAACTGCCCACTTTCTGCTACTTTTTTAATCTCACGAAAAAACTACATATAAAAGTAGGTAATGGCTAAAATTAACGAAGAAGATAATAAAATGGTTTAGATTCTAGGCCCAAATCTCATTTCCCAATACTTGCAATGTCTTTTCTTTTTCTTCCTCTACTCTCCCAACAATTTCTCACTTTGAGACAAAACATCAATCTCACATTCTACTGCTTCAATGTTCTTGTAACACCAAGTTTCTACTCCTACTGAACTTTTAAACTTCTTGGTAAACACCAAGGCTCCTTTTATAACAATTTATGATCTTTTTGGAAATTCTAAAGCTCCTCCCGCAAATTTAGTAAACTTGCAAAAAACATAATATCATAAAAATATTTGTTTTCATCAGTATTGCCTTGAGGTTGGACAACCTATGTGGATTCGTCTCCCATACATAAAAGACACATCGACATACTCCCAYTAAAACTAAGTGGTAACACTTGATGCTTCTTTCTTCAATTGATTTGTTTCATGTCTTCGATGYAAGCTTGTTGCCAAGTTTGAGACTTCATTCTTAACCTCAACACCTACTATGGTCTTCCTCTTTAATGCAACCTTTTGCCTATGTAACTTTATCAATTCGCTAATCCATCTGACAATTGGGGTTACCACATGACAATCAATTGAACTATCTTTCTATTTATGACTTCCCAATTTTTGAACCTTAATTGATGATTTGCATCTTATGTCTCATTGATCTTTCGACAGCACTAAAACTTGATGTGTACACTGTAGAAGTTTTGTGGCCAACAACCACTAGCTTGAACGCTCTGATGAGTTTCTATATGTTCCCACCAAACTCACTTCAATAACCACAATCGTCCAACTTACATATAGAGATAAGATTCATTGTAATACTGGGTACATACTTGACATCTTGCAGAACCAACTCAGTCCCACTATTAGTCTTTAAACTAACATTTTCAATCCCTTTTGTCTTGGAAAGTCTTCCATTTTCTATCTTCACTAGACCACGATTGCCTGTAATGAAAGATTTGAACAATCTCCTATCTAAAGATAAGCGTACAAAAGTTGCACTGTCTATTACCTATTCTGATGACTAGTCTTCTATTATTGCGTTACTCCCAACACGAACGAGGGTATCATGCACAACTACATTTGCATTTGCCTACAGCTTTTCAGATCCTCCAATTTTCTATAGTGCCTCTTGAAGTGATCATTCTTGTGGCAGTAATAACATTTGATTTCTCCATTCTCATTCCTCATTCTATTTCTATATTGTCTATCATCATATTTAACATTTTCTTTACCTTTCAGCTGAACTGCCAATGCTGAGCTAGAACCAGAACCAGAAGTGGATTCTTTTCCACTTTCTTTCCTGCTAATTTGCTCATCAATTATAGCATCACATAATTATTTAAATTTTAAACTCTTACGTCCTAACAAATTAGACACACTTGTCTTCCTCGTTTCCCAACTTCCAGATGAAAAAGTCAATAATAAAATAGCATTTGCCTCATCACTTAATGTATTCTTAAGAGAAGCTAACTGGTTGATTAATTAGTGACTTCATTTATATGAGAATTCACAGAAGCATTCTCATCCATACGTGCAAATGTTAAAATATCTCCTAACAAGATATACTTTATTACTGGTAGAGGATTCTTCGTACCTGTTCCTCAATGCATTCACAGACCTATTGATGTTGTCTCATTTACCACGGGACTCGCCACATTCATTGATAGATACAAGATAATGATAACAACTGCCTGTTCATCCACATCTTCCCAATCTTCATCCTTCATTCAGCTGGTCGTTCCTTCAAAATTTTGTGCACCTTTTTGCAGGTTAAGTAAGCCTTAATATTAATTTTCCAATATCCAAACTTGGCTCCATTAAACGTCATAATTCCTTCAAAACTAGAGTGCTCGCCAAATGCCATTATTTTGAACCAAAAGAGCTATGATACCAGTTGTTGGGAAAAATATAAAACACAGTCCTCCTATAAGAGCTATCCAGCATGATTTAACTAATTTCCACTTCCTTAGAATGAAGCAGATCAMAGTTTAATCATTAATAAAGGAAATACGAGATAGATATAGAAAATTAAACACCATAAAATATCTGGTTCATTCCAAGCTCGGGGCTACTTCCAATCTTCTGCAAATGCATGTTCCATTATGAAGAGAAGATTACAATGGACCTCTGCTTTCGCTCTCAACGCTCTTTAGATACCACAACAATGACTACTTAGCTTCTAAGCACCACGAAAATGGTTACTTAGGAATACAAAATGAAAAACCTCACAAGAATCGTGAGAAAGGGCTGCAGACAATGCTCCACATACCAAGTTCTCCTTTTTCTTTCTCATTGTTTGAAGAACTGTCGCCATTCGCTGCTACTTTTTTAATATCACGAAAAACTCTATATAAAAGAAGGCAATAACTAAAGGGAAATTCTTAGGATGGCTACGCATAGGTTACCGTTAAGAAAAATGGCCAAAATTTTTCTGTCATGGCCAAATTTGGTTCCCTCAAAATTTTGGGGAAGTGTATAATTTCATATTTATCCCTCCATACATTTCATGTCCATATTGCCCTTGCAGCCTTTCTCAATTTTACCCATCCACGTTTTTAGCCTCCCACATTCGACAAATCACATGTTCAAACGAATCCCTAAAATCTCTCCCCAACTAGTAAGATGTTATCAACTTAATATTGGAACCACCCTAACTACAAAATCTAAATAATTCCTAAAATCTTTCCACAAAATTGAAACCACCAAATCTATTTATATCATTCAAGCTAGTTTAAAATATTATTAATTTTTTTTAACCTAACTAATTGGTTTGAAAATTCTACTGCAATCAGCAACCTTAAATACGGTGTCTCTTTAATATTCTTGCACAATGTGTCATTAATCCCCACCCATTTTCTTGTTACATTTTTTCAGGAATTAAACCAATCAACGCAGGAACACTATATGATCATTCTTAGCCAGATTTTACATGATGGAAGTTTTACAATTGTAAAATTTGTGTAAGTAACAAAATGTTGGCAGTAGATTACAAGTTATAGACTAAGTAAACTATTTTCAGTACTGTGTAAGTTTTATTATATACGACGTATGAATAAGAAGATACCGCAATTTCATCCTCGTCTCGCTGCTTCAGCATGCTTGTAGTGTTCTCCTTTTGTCCTTTATTCTTATCCTTGATTGGAACCGTCTTTGTAGGGTCTTTTTTTACAATGATCTGAAATAAAAAAAAAAATTACCACATTGTTTCTAAAGATATAAGATTCTACAGAAACAATGTAGTAAATGAATACATCAAGATTTCAAAAGAATGTTTATTGAGAAAGGAAAGTGAGAAAGTTGCTATCCTATCTCACAAAATAAGCAAGAGATGTCAATACAACGGGGTAGATATAAGATTCTACGGAGTAGATGACCATTTTGTTAGTTTGTATCACTACAACCCACCTACTTAAAAAGTTAAGATCTAAGCAAGCAGCCAAATTAACAGAGTCATTACATGATTAGAGTTGAATATGGAGACTCCTAGAAATCCAAGAAGGATAGAAGTGATAGAATATGTTATCCTCAAACATCTAATATCCAAGTGTGTGGTTGAAGTTCACAAACATGCTATAGGGCATCTTTTAAAATAGAAGTTCATCAAAAATATTTTCTTATTAGAAAAACATATTAAATAGCTATTTTCTATAACCTATTATTTCTTGTTTTCCTTTAATATATTCTCGCATAAAGACTTAGCTTATGGAATAAATAGAGTTAATCTAGGCACATTATGAGCAACATGTTTTTTAATAACCCAGAATCATAACTCTTAACTTTTTTCCCCATGAATAAACCAATGGCTGTAATCCTCAGTAAATAAAATCAATGCAAATGTTTCAAATAAATACAAAGTTGAACATATTCTTAGTGACCATGGAAACAAAGAGCCCCCTCACCATTGAACACATTCCTCAGTAAATGTAACTTCTTTATACAATATAGGCAGTAGGTAAATACAAAAAGCCCCTCACCGTTTTATAATCTGTCTTTTTTTTTCTTTTTTTTTTTGTAATCCTCTATTATTTCTCTCATTCCTCGTGACCATGGAAACTCAAGGTGGACATATTCTGGAACTCCAAAGTGTTTCGCAATCTAATTTCCCGAAGTGTCGAGGCTTTCAGTACTTTGCCTAAAATTCTTCCCTGTAGATGTTATTTAAAATTTTTGCAATCTAAGCTACACAGCAATATGATTTTAACAATATTTTTATTATTTATAACTATATTTTGCAATATAATCTTCTCCAACCGATCATATCTACAAAGTGTCCAACAGAATCTGTTGTGTCAACAAAATCCCTTGAATATCAGAGGTTGGTAATAGATTAAGAAACATTCACAGAAACAAATAGATGTGTAAATATGCTGTAAAAAAACTTGGGTCAAAACAAGATCAAGTTTTTTTGCACGAGTTCCCAATTTTTCACCCACCCTGAGAAAAAATGCGCCTCAAGTTCCCTCATTTAGTGTTTTTCCTCGATCTAAACCACAACTAAGTTTGTGCCCAAGTAAAAGACATGTTATACAAACTTGTGCAAAAACAAAATTGTGCAAAATTTTGTTTAAAAATATAACTCCTTTAAAAAGATTGGGTGTTTCTGAACAAGTTTGTTTTTGGACAAGTTTTTTCACAAGTTTGTTTAACCTATCTTTGACTTGGTCACTCACTTGGCCAGGTTTTATGCTCGTTTCATTTCACTCATACAAAAATTTTCAAAAGAATTTCACATTTCGCCCATCACAGAAAACATCCAATCACATTTTCACAACAGACTAAAACCATAAATCATTCAAAATCATCCAAAACCCTAACCTAAGAAACGATTGAAATAGATGAAATCAAACTTAACTTGAAGATTCGACGTCCTCTAAGAAACGATTGAATTCTGAAGAGAGAAGAAGAGAAATTTGGGGCTTGATTCGTTGTTTGGAAACATGTCGGAGGGGAGGGTCTTCGTTGCACCAGAAACGTCGGAGTGTCACCACTGCTTCACGTCTTCTCAAAGAATCATTGGTTCGCCGGAGTGTTGCTGCTCGCCGTCGTGTGTTGTTCGCACTGCCACAAGACACGCTGCCGAAGCCTTCATTGTGGATCATAGGTTGCGTGTTTGGTAAGGAAGGTTAGCGGAGAGAAAACAGGGGCGGAAAGGAAAATTGGAAGTTGAAAGGGTTTGGGTCCAATGTTACTAATAGGAGGGGCATGATAGTACTTTCACCTATCCGGCTTCTTCAGAAAATAACTTTTTTAGGTTCTTTTTGTCAATTTCCCTTAAACACTCATCCCCTTTGAGTTAGTAGGTAACAACTCACTTACAATGAATTTTGATTCAATAAAAGTAGTTTTAGTTAGTTTCTAACCCAAGTTCGGTTGCCTTTGATTTAGAGAATCCTTCGGCGAGCTTAGTAGCGTGTTAGGACCCTTGTTTGTAAGTAGTTCTTACTTGTGGGGATGTTTGTTATTTGATGTATGAATTGTTGTGTGAGCTTGTGTACCTATGGGCATTGTTTGCATGAGTGCTTGCGGTTGATATTACGTAAATGTTGTTATTGATATAGTGATGATGAGTTTAAACATGTTGGACATGTTGGTTTAAATCTTGTTGGTTATCTGGAGATTGATAATGTGTCCTGGAAATTGTGATTGATCATGTACTAAGTTGGTTGTGCCTTTTAAAGATTGTCAGTTATGTTGTCGCTTGCTTGGTTTATGTTTGAAAAGCATACTGAACTTTTGTGAGAAGTCTGTTGTGTTGAAGCATGTTGATATATGTTGGTCATAGTGTTGGTTGCATTTTCTTTTGTAAACTTTACATGTTCTGGTTTTGGAAATATGTTGGACTATTATGAGCTGAATATTGTTTGGTATGTCGCATGCTAAATTTTGTTGAGAGTTGTTTAATACATGAGGCATGCCATAGAAAGTATGTTGCAGGACTTATGTGTAAGAGTTGTTCTGTTGAAGTGAATGGGTGAGTATTGGGGTCAGGGGCTGATACGTCACTAGTTGCGTTCGAGGCTTCGGGTAAAAATGGTCGTTGATCGATACGTCAAATTTTGGATCGCCAAGTTTTGGATAAGATGAGTGTTGACGCCTCGGCTAAAAATGGTCGAGGGTCGATGCAATGAGTCTAATTGGTAGGCAAGTATTGGGGCCTTGGGCAGAAACAATTAATGGCCAATACGTTGCGAAGTCATCGAGGCCTTGGGTTATGGTCAAGGGTCGAACGCCAAGCGCCATAGAGAAATATCAAGGCTCTTGGTAGATGGTCAGGGGTCGATACGACTCGAAGGAGTAAGTCATGGAGGAATAGGATAGAGATCTAGTGAGTTGTGATGTGAGGCTTGGGTTTGGCATGTAGGTTGCATGTTTGGTTAAACATATGCATAAACGGTTCCATTTTATTTAAAGCATGATATTAATGATAAGCATGATGTTTTGTTGTTGTGTAAGCATGTTGCTGGTGTGTGACCCTTTAGGTAAAGCTTGCTTACTGAGTATTAGTTGTTGTATTCACCCCCTTCCTTTTCCCCCTATATTTTGCAGGTAACGAGGTAACTCATGAGAATGGTGATGGCGAGAAGGAGGCTTGACTGGAAGAGACCATTAGCTGCGTAGTTTAGTTTTGTTCTAGTTATTGATTTTTAGTAGGATAGTTGCAGTGGACCTTAGAAGTAGTTGTAGTTGCTTCTTTTAGTTTGATTTTGTTATTTGGTTAATAGGTTAGTTTTGTTTAGTTTCCTATTTAAATAATGTTTTAAAGTTGTCAATTTACTATTCTTTTGAGAACTCTAATTTTGGTTAATTGTTCGAGTTGTGGAAATGGAAACTTATTGAGGCTAACATTTTGTAGTTGAATAGCTTTTGCTTCAATGTGACTTTAAGAGTTAATATTCGTTTAGTTGAGAACTAATGGTGTTGAAACTTAGAAATGGTTAATAAAGTCGCTTTAGTTAAAATTTATGGATAAAATATAGTCCTGTCATCTTGTTTGTGCTAAGCTCTATAGGAGATTTTAGTAACGTGTCCTATTTGAGTTGTTTGAAATTTGGGGGCGTTACAACCTCTATATGATCTAAGCATTTTTATTTTCTTCTCAAGTTGATTTTCAATTTCTGCATTATATGTTTTGAAAACATCTAAGATCTCATCTTTACTGTATAATAAATATACATAGCGATATTTACTACAATCATCAATTAAGGTGACAAAATATCTCTTACCACCTCTTGTGGGTGTACTTTTCACTTATTTGAGATTTTAGTAACGTGCCTTATTTGAGTTGTTTGAAATTTGTCGGCTTACAACTTCTATATGATCTAAGCACTTTTATTTTCTGTTGAAGTTGATTTTCAACTTCTGCATTATATGTTTTGAAAACATCTAAGATCTCATCTTTACTGTATAATAAATATACATAGCGATATTTAATACAATCATCAATGAACGTGACAAAATATCTCTTACCACCTCTTGTGGGAGTACTTTTCAAGTCACATACATCATTATGGATTAAATCAAGTAACTTATTACTTCTTTCCATAGATGAAAAATGACTTTCTAAAAAACTTTGATTCAACACAAATTGCGCATTTGTGTTTATTATCAATGTTAAAATTAGGCAATAGTTCTAAACTTACCATTCTTTGTAAAGAATGATAATTTACATGCTCCAGCCTAGAATGCCATACATCACACATGTAACACCCCATAATCTTATAAGGTATTTTAGTAGTTTAAATTGCATGACTAAATAGACAACCTTTCCTTTTTAACTTCCTTATTGATAGGATTTTTCTTAATTTAGTCTTCCTTTTGAAAGTAAGCAAAAGAAAGGAGTTATGAAGAGTTATGAAGGGAGTAGGAACATTTTTCTTTTTGGTTAAAGTTGCTAAATTAAAAATGGTTTAAAAAAAAGAATTAGAAAAAAATGTTTATTAGAAAAACAAGTAATATAGAAAAGAGAAAAAAAATTATAACAGAGACAAACTAACTAACGTGGTATTTTTAAAAGAAAAAAAAAAACAAGAATATTTTTATATTTAAAAAAAAATCTCAAATTCCTCCGAATTTTGAAAAGTTAAAATTGAGATTTGAAATTTTGAAAATTTGTTGGAGATCAAGGATTCCTCATTTAAAAACAAATAAATAAAATCTTCATCTCCTACTAGCTCTCTATTGCTATCTTTCTTTTTCTCCTCTTTTGGTTTTCCCTTTCACATTTGGGTTAAATACCAATTTCATTATTAACAGTAAGTAAAAGTAAATTTATGTTTTTATTTTTTTCTAATCTCATAATCATTTATTTCCTAAACTAATGTTCAGTTTCAAGGAAAAAGAATATTATTTACTTGAAAAAGAATATTATTTACTGTGTTTGAATTTTTTTTTTCATTTTAATTTGCTTTAGGTTGTGTTAATTGAGCCGATAATTAATTTTGGATCTATTAAGGTATGTTACTTTGCTTTCATAATGACTTTAGGGCTAGGTTGGAAATTGTATATGATTTTTTAATGGCTAGGTATGGATGTTGCTTATGAATAGACTATTATGTGAATTGTTGTGTTGCATTACAGAAAATATAATTATGGGACCTCATGCATGATCTTGAATGTGAAAATGTTTCTTTTTTTATATATAAAAGTTGTGGCAATACCCTAATGTAATGCACAGACTATACTGAAATTGAGGACCTAGGTACCATAATAGAGTTGGTATCGTCTGTATATGGATTGGATTAATTGCTCACATTGGCCAAAAGGAAAGTGAAAAGGAAAAGGAAAATGATATTGACAAATTTATGTATGTGTATGCATGTGTGATCCTATTAGCTGGGTTACTTACTAGTTATTTTTGTTACTCACTATTTTTCTGAAATTTTTTTGGCAAGACATATTAGGCGAGGGACATGTTGTTTGCTGAAGGCGCCATGGGGACTGCGTCAACATCATTTTATTTCTCCATTCCGTATTGAATCATGTTGAAGTGTTTTAGTTTAAAAATTTAGAGATAATGTTTTCTTTTTACTCACAATTTTATATATATATATTTGGAAATTGCTTCATTTGTTTACCTTTTTTTTATCCCAAACAAAGGTTTTTAACTATCTTGTAAGTGATGAAATTTTCGCTATGGCGTTCTTGTTTGTTACCATTTTGTTTAAATTTAAAACATTGAAAGCATGCATGTAGTAACGTCCCAAGTTAGTCTAAGTCCAAAAAGTCAGGTCGTTACAACATAACTCAACAATATAAGCAGAAGAGTTACTATTATTATTATTATTATTGGACACTTGTGCCAATACATTCAATTTGAATATGTCATCATTTAGATAACTCTTTCCCACATACATATCCCTTAGTCAAAATAAACGTATCTTACTCAAATACAAGATTAAACCCATTTTTATTGAGTAGGGTTCTGGATAATAGATTCTTTCAAATCTCTGGCACATGTCACACATTAGTATGGATAAGTATCTTTAGAAAAGTTCATTTCAACAAGACTTTTCATCTTCCTTCCACATAGGCTATTGAATCATTTATCATGTACAATTTATCACTGTCATCTAGCTTCTCATAGGTGGTGAAAAATGATTTATCCCCACAAACATGCCTAGTAACACCAGTATCAATCCACCAACATTTGGTGTTAGAGGCCATATTTACTTGAGAGATGACAGAATTAGATTGTCATCTTCCATAGTGTTGGTCTGGTTGGAGTTTTATCCCTTCTTTTGTTTACAGTTTGCAGCTATATGCCCATTCTTACCACAAACCTAGCAGATTCCACGAATGCGCTTGTTAGCGTCATTCTTTGGCCCAAGATTCACATTTTTTTTCTTTGATTGGTTTTTCTTGTGATGACACCTTGAAGCTTCAACAATATGTGCATTAGCTTAACCTTTCTGTGGTTTTTTGTCTCACTTTTTGTTGTCCTTTTCGATGTGGAGTTTCACAGTAAGATTCTCCATGGACAACTTCTTTTGCTTGTGTTTGAGATAACATTTGATTCTCTCCCAGCAAGAGGCAATTTCTCAATCACAGCAGCAACTTGGAATCCTTCACTTGGAAATCACTAATGATAGTTTCTGATTCTTCCAATTGATTAATTAACAACTTGGTAGCAACTATTTTATAATCTAAGAATTTTCCAACAAGGAATTTCTTAGTACCAACATCTTCTAGCTTATACTTATTGTCTAATGTCTCCCACAATTACCTTGAAGTATCAAAGGCATTGCAGTAGACATTATACAAGGTGTCCTCCAAGCAACTCAAAATAATGTAGTTGCGACATAGAAAGTCTGAATGCATCCACGCCTGCTTGACAACTTCAGTTTCAGTAGTGATTGCTTCTAGTGGAGTAGTTGGACATACCTCTATGTTATAAGCAAGATTTAGAGTGGTGAGGTAGAAGATCATCTTATGTTGCCATCTTTTGATGTTTTCTCCCTTAAGCTTCTCTAGTTTTTTAACATGAGTTTTGACAATGATCTACCCTATCATCGAAGAAGCATTAGTAAAAGTGTTTGCAGCCATCAATTATTTGCCTTCAGCTTGTTGGGTAAATATATGTTGTATATGTAAACTGAATAACACTTGCAAATAAGATTATAACATAATTGGCTACAAACAATTACAGATCTTGACAACTTGATGAACACCAAAACTTTATGAAATGTAGTCGAGGCACGCTTCAATAACATTGACCTGAAGACAAATATTCGCACGACACAAGTTGCTACCAGGCTATAGCAATTGTCGCAGCAAGATATAATGAATAAGTTCTGTAGAACAGCAACCTTGAACTACTCAGATCTGGCAGAACTTTTAGATACTTGCTTTCAACATAAACATGAACAACAAGACAAAAGAACAGCGAATTATTGTGGGAGTAGGAGAATACTCAATTGTGGTATGCTTGGATATCTCAAATGAAGGAAACCAACAATTATATATAGTAACCTCTCACAGAAACATTAAACACATATGTAACTTTTTTACATATGTAACTTTAACACATAAATGTAAAAAAACAACTTCTCATTCAAGAAATAACTTAAGTTTAACATATATATATTTTTAACACATATAAAGTTACAAATGTATAACAATTTTGACACAAAATTAAACAAAACACTCAAGATGTTGTATATGTGAGTAATTTCTTTTTAAGTTCACTTTCTTTCGCTCATAAAAGTCCAACAGATATAACTTCTCACTATAACATATATAACAAGTACAACATCTAAATCTTAGTTCTAAAAAGATATAAAAAAAAAAGCATCTAAATCGTAAATTTTACTTTTAAGCTTTCTCACACTCCCACTGCCATCTAACCCTCATCTTCTTTTTCAATCTAGAGAGAGAAATACACATACAAAGATAGAGAAAGTTCAAGTTATTTCTCTTCCGAGTTTTATTCCGAAAAATAAAAAAAAAACAAAGAAAAAGAAAAACTTTTTTTCACTTATCTCCATTTTTATGGCTTTTTTCTATATCTTTTTATGATTTTCTCTTCTGAGTTTTGTCTATTTGAAACTCAAATAAATAAATAAAAACAAACAAACAAACAATAAGAAAAAAGAAAATCATATTTTTTCCCTAACTCAATTTTTACAATTTTTTTATTACTGATTGACATTTATTTTTAACACGTCATCAAAGAGTTGAGTAAAAGAGAACACGTGCAGGGAACGTGCGTACTAATGGCATCAGTTCAGACAAATGTCGAACTGAACACTCGTCTACTGAATTCGGCCACCCTTAAAAACTCAACTGATTTCCCTCCACTACGCATATGGTTACCAGCATTTACGAATTGGAAACGCAAATTCAAA